GCCCCCGCGCCCGCGCCCGGTCGCTGCCAGCCGCGCGGCGCAGACGGGCCGCCTAGAGGCGTCTCGCATCTGGGTATTTTTGGGCGCGCGTAACGCCGCCTCCGCCGCCGCGCCGTCAAGTCTCCCCTTTTGCTGCGCCCGCGCGCGAAACGCCCGCCCCCCCTGCCGCCGCCCACGCCCCGAAATATCCTCCGCGGAGCGAGCGCTGTCACACTGAGCGGCGCGGGCCCATTGTGAAGATACATAGTTGACGGACTACACTAATACACCGAATTTCCTCAGGGCGTAGCGGTTGACTTTCGCAAGATTTGGCTTCGCTGCCTGCGTTGGGTTTCACGGGTTGAGTACGAGAATTATTACACAGGCACACAAAATAATCAACTTTGCTAGATCCAAACACTTGACACATGTTTCTCTAGTATGTGGACGCACTGAATCCGAAGCCAGAATTGCTCCATCACCTTTTAGTTTTTTTAATCGCGAAAACTACCTTCAAATTTACAGTTTACAATTTTACGGTAGTTTTTCGCGATTAAAGAAAGTAGAGGGTGATGGCGCAATTCAGGCTTGAGATTCAGCGCGATCACACACATAGAAAAACAGGTGACAAGTCTTTCGGTCTGACAACCTTTTTTTCTGTTAACCTGTGTTATTATTACAAAACGTTTCAATTGAGAAAATGTTTTTAGGAACCATAGGTGGTCTTCGTACTTCGACTATGTAATCAAATAGTTCTTTTTAAATGCCGTAAAATTTCACGACTCAGTGACGGCTGTGGAATGTAAATTACGAAAACTTTCTAATCGTTCTTTTAAGTTTTTATTCTTGTTCGTTATGAAATCTCCACACAATATCAGCTTAAATTTTTGAGACGAAATACTTACTGTGTTCATTTGTTGTTGTTTTTGTGCGAAAACATACAACACATCTCAAAGATGGCCATTGCATTACTCTCTTCCCTATTGGTCCTTTTGAACTTTGGTTTTTTGTTTGAAAGAGAACTCGAGGTTGCGCTGTTCTCTTCCTTATATGTGCAGCTTGTAATGACGACGAATTAATGGAGAGAAAAACATCCATTGCTTTGATAGATGGCATTAATTATTGACTACGATCATAAAGAGTGACGTTCGCTTTTTGTCCTGGGCAGCCTTCGCGACACCATTTATCGACTTTAAATGACTTCATTGAACTTAAGCCGCTCTAATGGAGAGCGATTGCTGATGTAGTTTCGGTTTATATTCATTCAGCTTCATCTGATCTTGGAGAGCCACGTTTCCATGTTATTGATATTTACAATGTAGACATTTAAAAAAAATCCCCCAGTCTTTGGAACGGTGAAACGACTGTGTCATGGTATCTGTAGAAACCTGTAGTGTCGGTATTGAAAAACTGGTCACTAGTGTAAAATATATCGATTTTTCCAGTTGTGTTAACATTTGAAAAGCATTCTTTATTCCCATTCAGTCATTTCGTATGACTATTCTCGGAGAGAAAAGTTGTGCTTTTCATTTATTTACTGTTAGAAAAATAAAAAATAAAATAATAAAAAAATAAAGCAGTAAAAAAATAAAATAAATTCGCATTATCATAATGTATTCAAAAGAATTTGAAAAGTGTTTGGATATACAAAGCATTTCATTTTCTTAGTTTGAATTGGTGTCATATTACTTTAGTTATATCTTAGAATTGGTACTTGACGTCGGATTATATAAACATGATTATATTTCGCTCTATTCTTGGTATCGATACCAAATATGAATTCATCTCGCTCATTTTCTTGCCTTGGAAAAACGATGACGGGGATCGATAACTTTCCTACACTTTTCCACACTCGCCATAACATCAAGCTGTACTTCTTTATCGCTAGACACAGGAATGTAATTTTCTTCAATCGCCTTTTCATGGTGCGTATTTCTGAACGCCAGAGGTCAACGGGCGATAGAAGTTATATCCGTCCTCGAAGGTCGGCAGCGAACGGCCCATAAAGCGAGAGGACGCGGCGAGGGCGGGGGCGCGGGAAGCAGATGGGGTCTGTGCGAGCACTTTTGTTATTAATCTTTTTTTATGAACCACCATTTCTGCGAGGAAGCTGTCGATGTGCTGTCTCAATTTTTCTCGTGCAGAGAACGCTTGAGGGAGGGAGCTGTTGCGAAGAGTAGGTTGTTGGTTTGTGCCTATCTCTAGCTTGGATGAGGCTAGTGAAAGATTTAAGATTGTTTATTCTTTTGTATATTTGCTTACCATATTGTTTCTTTGAAGCTCATTAATAATATATATCCGAATTACTAGAGGTTTTGTTCGCTTACTCTTTATTCATCCATCCCCTTCTATTGCGTTCGTTTTCTCTCACAGGAAAAAAATAACCGTTGGAGTATGCCAGATCCATGATACTGTAAGAAGGAAACGAGTTACTGTCTCATGGATCTGGCATACTCCAATGGTTCTTTTTTTCGGTGCTCAATCCCTCTCTTCACCTTTCTTCTCGCATCTTCTCTTCTTCGTCTTCCTTCCCCTTTTTTCTTTTCATTTCTCCCCTCCTCTTCTCTCATTCTCTTTTCATATCGTTCATATCTATTCTCCCCACGCACGCACTTTTCCTCTCTATCTCTCTCCCTCTCTCTCTGATCTTTCCCCTCTTTTCTCTTGTTTTCTCTTCCTCTCTCTTCTCGTCTCTTCTCTTCATTCCCACTCCAATCTCTCCCTCTCCTCCCCCTGGCTTTCGCTCTCTAATCTTTAGTATACCTCCCTTTATGAATTTTTCCTCTCCAGTTCCTTTTACTTAATACTCAATTTACCAATCAATTATTCATCAATCAATCAAACATGTTCTCTCGGTCCCTTCACGCATTCTCCCCTCCCCCTCGCCATGGGCACCGCCCGCTGC